AAAAAAAAAAAAAAAAAAAAAAAAAAAAAAAAAAAAAAAAAAAAAAAAAATGAGAAGAGAAAAACTATATTTGACTTGTGCTTATTTGTTTTTTATGTTTACTATTAAATTTTTATTAAATTTATTATTACATTTTTAAATGTTACACAAAATGGGACACAAATAACATTAATAATTAATATTAAAAATACAACAACACCTTTTAAATACAAATTGTTGTAAACATTAACACCAACACAAAAAAGAAGAAACCGCCACAAAAGAAAAGTAACAAAAGTACATAATTAAATGATTTTTATCAATTCTGACAAAACAAAAAAAAAAAAAAACAAAAACTTGTTTGCTTTGTGTTTTTATTTATCGTTTTTTATGTTGATTTAATTTTTATATATTTTGCTTTGCACCTTAACATCTGTTAACGATCGCCGCTGTTAACTAACGATAGAGAGTGACAGAAAACGTACCGCTGTTAGCTAACAGAGAATGTGATGCAGTTAGTTAACTAACAGAGAATGTGCCGCACAGTGGGACGCTGCAGGCGAACATTCGAACATTTTTCTCTCACTTGCCCGCAATGGCGCTGTCCCTCTCGCCCATACAGAACATTCGTGAGGATGCACTTTGATGCATATGGAAGAATCTAAAATTTAGAGACGATATAAATGTATGTTGATAAAAATTTTGATGAATTGAGAATCTAATAGACTGTGCAAAATGAATATGTAACAATTTTTTTAAAATATATATATTTGTATTGGTATATATATTTAAAGAACTAAAGCCCAAAAACATATTTATGTAAGCTAAATCGTGTAATTGTAAAACAGCGCTATCTATCTATATATAATATAAAAGAAAACCAATTAAAACTATATGCATAAATCCGGTATATATACATATACATACATAAATATATTAAACATTTTAAGGATATGTATTTTTTCCAAAACGAAGTAAAAATTCTACTAAAATGTAAACTTTTTATACCGCCAATTAACTGTGCTCTCTAAATATACATACACACATAGACGCATACATATACATATACATACATATACATATAGAGCGTCTATTAACGATAAGCGATAACTTTGTAGCTCGCGCTGGCAATTCGTGAATTTTAACCCTATATTAACAACTATATGTAGTTGGTATGCGTGTGCCGGCATTTGTGATTAGTTTATTTGGACGCCGCCTCGTTGAAAATTCAAACGTCTCACAACTACCACCAAAAAAGAAAATGATAAAAAAAAGAAAAATATAAGAACACATTGAAGAGGAATCAAAATCGGTAAAGATCGATGAGAAAATGATATATCTAAATCATATTTAGGCATAAGTATAAGGGAGTGTTGAATGTGCTGAATTGTGGCAAAAACCGACACGTTTTTCATTGTTAGGCTATGAATGTTACACTAATATTTAGACTTCAGCAGTCCAAGTCGGGTTACACACATCTAAGGAATAGAGAAATATATAGAAGAAGGTGAAGTGGACAAAGTGTAGGTATAGGTATCGTTTCGTGTTTGGTTTGGGTTGCAGTTGAGTTTGAGGTTGAGAGACTGTCGGCACAAGTTGAATGATCTAGATCTAGAATTGAGCCCATGGATATGCATAAAAATAATTTTTAATGTAGTTTATATTTTTGATAAATGTTATTAAACAAAACAAATCCAAAATCAAAGCAAAATGATAAGCAAAAGCAAACGCAAACAAAAAGCAAAAAAAAAATTAAATACAAAATAAAATTGAAATCCCTATGAAACATTGTTGAGCATTTTGTACGCAATTTAGAATTTGTACATGTATTAAAAAATAAAATAAAACCGATAACGATTATTGACAAGCGGCAGCAGCGAACTAAATAAACAAAATTCAAACTGGCTTCGTAGAAGTGTTTTTAAGTATTATTAGACTATATTAGAAAATAGTGAAAACTAATGAAATTCAGCAAGAATTGAATGCATATACATGTATCCATAAATACTTACATATGTATGTATTTTGTATTATTTGAATTAAAACCTCTCATTTGTTTTTCTTTTCTTTTAAGTAGACAGCTAAAATTCGATAATCCGTCAGCATAGGAAATGGAAATACTCGTAGAATATTTATTCTAATAATAATGAACACATATTTATCTATGAATAAGATCGAAACAAAAATGTTAAATTGAATGTTAGAGAGCCCAAATTAGCATGCATGTGTACAGGCATAAATTCATATATATGTATATATTAACATCCATACATGCCAATAAATGTTTGTATGTATATTTTTTTGGAAAATTCAACTATATCAATTATTCAAAGCTTGCTTGCGTAGTTTGTCGATGATACAAGATATATAAATATGATAAATACATGTATACACACATGCAATTGTACATATGAATATGTACTATTTTTCATTGTTGTTGTCGCCTGTAGTTTTTTTTAACCTAAGCAAACGAAAATGATATATAAAACAAAAACAAAAGCAAACACAAGATCAATTTGACAAAAACTCGCATATGCAGTACTTTTCACTGCTTATGGTTACACTGTGCTGGCAACATGCATACTTACATACTTACTTAAGTAAGTATGGGTGCGTGTACGTGTGTGTGTGCATGTGTGTTCTGCTCTTTCAAAATCTGAGCTTTATTCATCAAAGCTTTTTGCGCTCTCTCTCTCTTTGCTTTCGCATATGAGCGACACACACATCCTCACATACGGAGCGCACATGCGAACATACATACATAATTGATAAACAATTACAACTATGACTGATTTTTACACGAAAACATTTACACATAATTATACATATACTACTATATACATACATCTTTACATATAAATATATATATATAATGTTGCTACTATATATGTATATATTTATACTTACAACTATATACACGCACTCACACACACATACACACAGCGGGCACATGCACCTGCCTCGAGATGCATGTGTGTGCATGCGTGTGCGTGTGTGTGTGTGCTTGATTCTCTCTCGAATTCGTAGTGAAACTTAACGGTAAAAACAACATTTTTATTACACTTAACAAAGAACAACAAAATCTTAGACTGCTTCGAAAACGTAAACGTGAAATAAAACTAAAAAAAAAAATATTATAATAAATATTTATATTAATTAAAAATAAAAAACGAAACCTTTGTAAAATAAAAAGAAACAGAAAACATAGATTGAGACTCGTTTAGGGAACTTTCACAACTCTGCTTTTTGGTTCATTGGAAAATTGATAGGCTTTCACTTCCACTTCATCCTTAACTTAAAACTAAACCTCACTGAACTGTTCTTTTACTTTGCTTTGCGCGCAAGAGAAATTTAAATAGTAACAATAATTATAATAATCATAATTTGGAATATAGAATATAGAAAATATTTTCATCATATTTTCCATTTTCTATTTGTAAGCGAACGAAAAGTTGAACATGCAAAAATGATTAGAAACAAAACAACTATTTATAGTATATATATCTAAATACATGCATATATGTAGTAGTATGTAATACATATGATATATGTATATAGTATATAATAGATAACTGTTTGTTGTTAGCTGCTTATACTTCCTATTGAAGACTACCAACACATTCATATCCAAGCATTTGTAGTTTGTATTTGTATTTTAATGTATTTATACGCATCTTAAGAAATATTTATACCATGTATTTTGCTTAAATATGCATATATATATGTATGTATGTACACATATATGTATGTATTCAGAGATCCAACTCGAGTCAAGTGCAGCTTGGCAAATAAAAATAAAATAAATATAATAAGAATTTGTTAATGAATTTGCAATACGTTAAAAATTCTGTATGTAATTTTTAGAAATTATTTTAATTTTGCTTTAAATTTCCATAGAAAAACATTATAGATATACTTTTACATATGGTATTAATTTTGTATTTTGTTCGACGTTGCTTATTTTTTTGTATTCATTAAAGCTTAAAGATATTTCACTTGTTTTCACAAAAAAAAAGTAAAGCATATATTTGTGTTGTTTTATTTATTTTCATAAACTTTTGCACTTTTCTTTTTATTTATTTACAGTTACGCGTAAAAAGCTAAACAACCTGGCAGACCGAGTGCAGCCAGAACACACGAATTTTCTTTTTAATTTGCAAGAGAACTGAACTAAAAAAAAAAAAAAAAAAACAAACAAAATATTTATAAAACAATATATATATTTATAAATATATATTGTTTCTATTTCTTAAACATTTATAGGTTATATTTGAAGCGTTCTATTAATTCATTCCAATTTTTGCACAACTGTTTTTTATGTCCTGAATCCATTGAAGAGGTAGAAAAGTTAACTAGCTTTGATCCCGAAACGTAGCTGCGGATTTGAAACTTTTATGCCACGCCTTCTTTTATATATTGTTTTCATTACTACAATGATGCCACGAAAGCTTAATCAACAAATAAGTCGGTCATTGACGACTGGAATACTTTTACTTGTTTTCATATTTGTGTTGACATTGTTTTCATCATGATTAAATAATGCTAATTGGATATTTACGTTTTTTGCAATTACACAATTTAATACAGAAATAATTTAAATCAATTTTGGGACTCAATTTAATGTATATGTATATACATATATATACATATACATATATAAAATCTAGATCTAGTTTAATGAGTCTCTGCGGTCGAACCGCAACACACACACACACACCATTCATATGAAACAATTTGCTAAGAATTCTAATTGACGTACATACATACATACATAAATACATTTGATCATCGTACATCATTCATCATAGCATTTGCAAATATAAATATATATATAGTATACATACATACTTACATCATGATCCATGATATCGTCATCTAGTCATTTTACAAATTATTATATATTATTATATGTCGACATATATATAAATATATGTATTTTTATAACTATAAAAATCTAAAAAAAAAAAAACACCAATTTAATGTTAAATGTCGTTACAATTAAGTTTTAGCAAACGTTTTAAGCATTTTATAAAACAAAAACAAAACATTTACCAATGATTTTTATTTTTGAACATTTGAACTCTCTGCTAAATGGCAGAAGAGGAAGAAGTTGAATTTTCAAATAAGACATAGTATACAGGGTGTTGCTAAATGGCTTTACATATATAAACACACACACACTCACATACTCACACACATCTAAACACATTTGTTCACACATACACATTTACATGTTTTCTATACATACAGTTATTTCTGATCTAAATAAACGATTAAAACAACAATAACAAATCTTAGTTAAAGCATTTTTCGCTCAAATTTAGTTTTTTAAAGTGAATGAAAGTTTGTTAAGAAAAAAAAAAAGGAAAAAATACCAAATATATATATATATATATATATATATATATATATATATATATATATATATGGACTAATGGACTGAAAGGTAATTAATATATCAATGAAAGTATAGAGATGGGTTGGCATGTAATACAAAAATATATATATATATATATATGTATACACATATATATAAAAAATCAATATAAAAAGGAAAACAAATATAAATGTGTAACTTTGAGTGTTGCCCGCACTCTTTGGCTGTTTCGGGAAATTGTTAAATTTATGTTAATCTGTTAAGAAAACAAAACAAAAATATAAGACGAAGACGAAGACAAAGATGAAGAAGATAAATACACACACACACCCACCAAGGCATACTATATGCGCACTGTTTCATATAAAATGCATATAGTAATACTTATACTACATACATATGTACATCTCATTCCAACTCTCCCTCTCTCTCTTTTTAATTGTACTTAATTCGAATTATTTGCTAACTACTCCAACTGCCAGTTGAGCTCTCTGTATTACACACAACCACACAGTACAGTGAACACCCTGCATATGCAACTACCTACATACATAAAAAAAAAAACAAATATTAATACCACACACCACAACAACAACCCACATCTATAAGTACTACAAAAATCGCATATGAATGGCATTTACATACATACATACATATATTTTTATGTATTCATATTTTTGAATGAAAAATTGAAAGCAAAAATAAATACATGTATACACAAATATATATACACATATATGTATATATAATCGTAATCGTAATCGTAATCGAATACCGATGTCATAAATGTGAAAGTTATTAGTAACTCATTAAATACTATTATTATTACGATTATAATTGTATGCCTAAATGATACTATAAAAAAAAAAAATTAAAAAAAAAAACATAAAGCAGTTGAACACTCATTATTCTAATGTGTAAGTGAGAGGCAACATGAATAACGGTAATAGAAGAAAATGGTAAAATATATACAAATATTTTTATACACAAAAAAGAAAAAAAAAAACGAAAAAGGAACAAAAGAAATCTGAAATTAATGAAAAACTCATTTGTATGCATTTGATTAATATAATTGTGTACTCGAATAACAGTAAAAAAAAAAAAAAAAAAAAATTAAAATTAAAAAAAAAACCAAACTACAACCAAACAGAACTTGAAGCAAATATAAAAGTCTTTTAAATGCTTAGGGGCCACAATTTTCGAAGTACATAAATTAAAAATGAAATTATTATTATTATATTATATTATATTCTATTATTATTATTATATATTGTATTAATTAACATTTAAAAAATGTTGTGTAACAGTAAATATAAAAGATAAAAAACAAAAAACAGCAAACAACAATTGTATTGTAAGAATTTCTATTTCCATCACAAAAACAAAAGAAAAACTATTAAAAATAAAAATTAAATAATTTTGTTTTTAATAAATTAACCATTTGTTTTATTTACTGGGAAGGAATGAGAATAGCTAAAAGTAAACGAAATCAGTTTACTTTCAGGCTTGCGAAGGAAAACAATTATCCTACATTGGTAAGTTCTCATCCTATCTCAATCCTATCTCTGTCTCGCCTAGAGCTCTCTAACTTGCTGCATTCCGTTGAGGGACGTCCCACGTCGTCAAGGGGGGAGATACGACTCATCCTGTTTTCACTTTAACTTATAAGCCGTATGACCTAGAGACTAAAGATTTACTAAAAACTGGAACTCTTTTGTATGAAATACAAAATGGAACGATTGCAATATCAGCTGTTTA